AGGAGACTCGCTTGAGCCCAGGAGTTGGAGGTTGCTGTGAGCTGTAATGCCATGGCACTCTACCCAGGGGGACAGCTTGAGGCTCTGTCTCAAAAAAAATAAATAAATAAATAAATAAAAGGGAAAGTCAAATTTTAGTTAACAGCAATCCCTAACATAGTAGAACCTCTGAAAGTTGATCAGCAAGGTATTGTAACAAATTGGTCAACACGTGGAGGTGGTCAACATAAGGAACCAGGCTGATTATACTGATATGTACACGTGGTGCATGTCCAGTCTATGAAAATTAGGTCAACTTAAGGAGATGGTCAATGTAGAGAGATAGTCAGCTATGGAGGTTCTACTGTATTGTAATGAGAAATCCATCAATCTATATCTAGGTGTTCATATTTGTTTATGCCACACTTCATTTCAATTATTATACCTTGTCAAATCAGAAATGTATTTATAGAGTGTTATTAAATAATTTTTAGAACTAGAGTCATCAGAAGCCTGTTACACAAAGTACTGTGCCTAAGAAGAATTCATCAGCTTCTGTAGGACTTTTCTTGTAACTTTAAAGCTGGACCTCAAATACTCAAGGGAATACAAGTCTATGGTGCTTCAGAGGTACAAATCTGCTTATGGCCTCTCACCTCTGGGCATGTATATGTGCTATTCCCTTTTCCCTGTCTTCTTCACCTGGCTAACTTCTAACTCATCATTCAGGTCGCATCCGAGAAGCACTTCCCTAAATTCCCAAGTACCAAACACGCCTTTTAAACGTCTAATAGAGCTTCCTCTAACACACCTGTATTGTAGTTTATCTGTTTACTTGTATCACGCCTCATACCAGGAAAGAGCTCCAAGAGAACAGGGACCATGTCAGAAATGTCCACCATTCTAATCTGAGGAGCTGGCACAGTTACTGGCAGGTAGTATCCACTCAAAAGACTGGATAAAAATGTTATCAGGGTATCTAATTAAAACTAGGAACCAGCATACCACTGGTATTCAAATACTGCCAACAACACATGTACTTAAACAGCATCAACACCCAGTAAGATGTTCCTGATATTAGGTAATCTATTCTACTTAAAGACTAAGTGAAAATGAAGTTTGGGAAAAATAAAGAATTTATGAAGAATATCTGCTAAATGAAAAAGCTTAAAAGATAGCAGGGAAACCAAATCAGGCTGACAAGCAGTATGGGATTTGAATGACATACTTATAAAAATCCATTTAAAAAATGTATTACACATTACCTCAGAATCTGTTTTCAGTTGTATAATGTAAAATTTCCTCCTCCGATTTGCTCTCTTATCTTGAATAACAATTTCACGCCAATTTCTGCTTACTTTCCAAACACTGTAACAAAAGATCCGTCCTTATATTGCATATGTTCCACAAGATTAAATTTTTTTCTGCTTGGTAACTAGTGAGAAAAGTTTGTTTTAAAAATTTGGGTCAAGGTCGGCCTCGGTGGCACACACCTCTAATCCTAGCACTCTGGGAGGTTGAGGCAGGTAAACTGGTTGAGCTCAGGAGTTCAAGACCAGCCTGAGCAACAGCAAATTGACCCATCTCTAAAAATAGCCAGGGCTGGTGGCAGATGCCTATAGTCCCAGAGACCCAGGAGGCTGAAGCAAGAGGATTGCTTGAGCCCAAGAATTTGAGATTGCTGTGAGCTATGACTCCATAGCGCTCTACCAGGTGCAAGAAAGTGAGACTCTGTCAAAAAAAAAAAAAAAATGGGGGCAGTAAATTTAAATCTAAAAATTTACATTAAAAATATGACCTTGCTCTGCATTGTCACTGCTTAAAAAATATTAAAAATTAAATAAAAGCTGGGCACAGTGGCTCATGCCTGTAATCCCAGGACTACAGGAGGCTGAGGCAGGAGGTTTGCTTGACCTCAGCAGTTCGAGGCTTGTCTGAGAGAGAGTCAGATGCCAATTCATGAAAAAAATTGAAAAACCCAATTGGGTGCTGAGGTAAGTGCCTATAATCCCAGCAGTTTCAGAGGCTGATGCAGCAGGATACCACAGCCTGAGTCTGAGGTTGCAATGAGCTACAACACCTTTGGACTCTGCTTAGGGCATAGTGTAGAACTCTGTCTTAACAACAACAACAAATAATAATAATAAAATATATAAAATAAAAATATGATTTGGTTAACATTATTGTTTCATATTGATTTACCATATGAAAGAATCCTATTAAAATATTAGGACCAGACTAAGCAAGAGTGAGGCCCCATCTCCACTAAAAGTAGAAAAACTTGTCAGGCGTTGTGGTGGGCGCCTATAGTCCCAGCTACTTGGGAGGCTGAGTCAAGAGATCACTTAAAACCAAGAGATTGAGGTTGCCGTGATGATGCCACAGCATTCTACCCAGGGTGACTGAGTGAGACTCTGTCTCAAAAAAAAAAAAAAAAAAAAATTAAGTATATGCCAGCATTATATTGAGAGATTACTATTTATAACTGGTCACAGAAAGCCAATATAGGTGTACTAGGAGGCTAATTAACTTCAAATGTGACATTAAGATGAAAAGTTTGGAATATAATATGCACCAAATGATTATCCTCTGTAGCACAGAGGTTTTTATCAATTTCACCTATTACTGTGTTTAGCTAATCTGTCATTTTGATTAAATAAATGTAAGAACAATCCTTCATTGGCAGTACTAAGTGTCAAATGATAAATACTATTATGGGTAGCACTACAAAGTTCTATTTCATTAACCGAAGTTTACAAAAAGGAAGTAGATAAAGGAAAAAAACAATTTTTGTCCAGTGATCACTTGTTTATCAATAACTTGAACTAAATATTAATCATTAAAGAAAACAGTAATCCTCAATTGTTAATCTAGACTTTTCATTATTCTACTTTAACAAATCATTCAAATGGAAAGTGAGCAATGAGAAGCCTGGAAAAAAAGAAATAACTTTTTTTTTTTTTTTTGAGACAGAGTCTCACTATGTTGCCCTAGCTAGAGTGCTCTAGTGTCACAGCTCACAGCAACCTCAAACTCTTGGGCTTAAGCGATTCTCTTGCCTCAGCCTCCCAAGTAGCTGGGAATACAAGTGCCCACCACCACACCTGGCTATTTTTTGTTGTCGTTGTCATTGTTGTTTAGCAGGCCCGGGCTGGGTTTGAACCCACCCAGGTGTATGTGGCCAACACTGTAATCACTGAGCTACAGGCACCAAGCCAAGAAGTCACTTGTTATGAAGGGCCCCAGGTAATGCCTGAGTAATCAATACTCCTATTCTTCCAGCTACCACGGCCACTTCAGTTGCCACTGTCTTTCTCTAAGTTGATATATGGGCCTTATATTAGAGGAAAGGAGAGGAATAGGCAGAAAGTCACCCATTAATGAAGAAACTAACTATATAATTGGGTATTGCCACAGATATTTCAACTATCAATTCTCACGTTACCCAGAATGGCACTGCTACCATAGATACACACATTCCGTAGTGCAAATACTATACACTTGGAAGGATGGGCAGGAGAAGTAACTGTTGAAATACAGCTGAATACCAGCTGCTTGCACAAGCAACTACCCAAAAGTGTCACCTGACTTTTCCTTTTAACTGATCCATTCTAATATAAAATAACATTCCTATATCTCAGCCATCTCCCTGATTTCTTTAAACAAATAATTTACCTTTCGAGCATTTGTACAAGGCACACACATATGAGTGCACTAATTTGTTTATTATCCTACTTGGGTTGCACCATATATATTCCTAATCAACTTTATTGCAAAAGGCATTAAACTTTAATAACAGTTTACAGAAAAATACTGGATTAGAAATCTGAGGGCTCAATTGTAGACTAGATCTATTACTATATTTTAGAGTGACTGTTGGTAGGTCACTCCTCTGGGGCTCATGTTTCCTCATCTGCAAAATAAAGTGATTGAACTAGGTATCTCAGAAGACTTCCAGCCACAGAATTCTACAATTCCCTACAACAGCCTACAATTAATGTATGGAAGAAAGGTGAAGCTAGGTGTTAATAGACGTGCTGGGGCTGGACAGGTGGCTCATGCCTGTAATCATAGCAATCTGGGAGGCCAAGGCAAGAGTATCACTTGAACTCAGGAGTTCAAGACCAGCCTGAGCAAGAGCAAGACCCCTGTCTTTACTAAAAATAGAAAAAATTAGCCAGGTGTGGTAGTGTATGTCTTAAGTTCCAGCAACTAGGGAGGCTGAGAGGCAGGAGGATTGCTTGAGCCCAGGAGTTTAAGATTGCAGCAAGCTATGATGATGATGCCACTACATTATACCTAGGGGATAAAACAAGACTCTGTCTCAAAAAATAAAAATAAAATAAAATAGACCCAGAAGTACTGGCCATAAAAACAACCAGGACTCTATGAGCCAAACTCCTGACATACACTTACCAAGATATCTCCCAACTATCACTTTGGAGAAATGCCGTTCTACATGACTCCCCTCCTTCTTCCTGGCCGTGGCATTCCTAAGGTTCTTGTTTTCTGATAGTTCTGCAATTGTCCCCAAATTGCCAGCATGAATACAGTCTCATTTTAGTCTTTATAACCTCAGTTCCTACCCACAATACTCCTAAACGTCTTAGTCTCTCTTTAATTATGTAGCAGCATTCAAACTACTATAATATCTGTGAACACAAATTCTTCAGCTTTTAAATTCTTGAAATTCCCCAAGGTAGTCAACTTTCACTGCTGTGTTAGCCATGAAAATAAAGCAATCCATATTTCTTTGATCTCCAGAAAGATCAAACCCTAACATTAAGCTAACCATTGTTCTTGGATTCTAGAACGTAAATAATTACATGATACTCTTTGTATGTTGCATTTCTCAGTCACCATAATGCTTTATGTTATTTCTGCTTTATGTTGTTTATGTTATTGTATTCTTAATACAATTTGCAATATAACGGTAGGATGTAAACTATTAAATAAATCAAACAACTTCCACAGAATAAAGCTTGCCACCTTGAAATATTAAAGTTCAACTTTTAGGCTAAGCATCCATAGCACAATGATTATAGCACCAGCCAACGTACACCAAGGGTGGTAGGTTCGAACCCGGCCTTGCCAGCTAAACAACTGCAACAAAAAAATAGCTGGGCATTGTGGCAGGCACATGTAGTTCCAACCACTTCGGAGGCTGATACCAGAAAATTGCTTAAGCCCAAGAGTTGGAGGTTGCTGTGAGCTGTGAAGTCATTTAGGACTCTGTCTCAAAATAATAATAATAATAAATAAAGTTCAACTTTCAGTAACTCTCTTTCCAAATGACAGTATTAAGAACTTTACTCAAAAAATACTATAATATTGCTACTCAAGCAGGCTTTTAAATTAGCAAGCTCTACTGGGAAGTTCACTTACACCACCTTTGATACAGTGTAAGACAACCAGAGATAATAAAACAAAACAAACAAAAAAAGCAGAAGCCAGGCGCCGCGGCTTACACGTGGCTCAGGTGGATTGCCAGAGCTCACAAGTTCAAGACCAGCCTGAACAAAGGCAAAACCTCATCTCTAAAAAATAGCCATGCGCTGTGGCAGGCGCCTATAATCCCAGCTACTTGGGAGGCTGAGGCAAGAGGATGGCTTGAACCCAAGAGTTTGAGTTTGTAATGAGCTAAGATGCCACAGTACTCTACCAAGGGTAACCAAGTGAGACTCTGTCTCAAAAAAAAAAAAAAGCACAGTGACCACTCAAGTCATAAAGAAAATTTCCAATTTAAAAAAAGATAAAAGTTTTATTTTGTAAGCAACTTTTCTTACCTGCATAGGCTTTCTGCAGTCAAGGAATCTAAAACCATAGCAAGAATATGCCGCAAATTTCTGTATTTTAATTCTGTTAAGATGTCTAGCTTTTCTATACCCATTTTCTTGCCAATCAGTCCTGCAAGTAAACACTGCAGTATAGCTATTTTGCCCCCATCCTTTTCTTCTGAGAATTCGTGTGCACTGTTTTGCTGAAATCTTTTCCTTTTACTTTTCATAAAGAGCTCATGCACTAATTGCAAGGCAGGGGTCTTTGATAAATTCTTAAAGCTTAGAGTCAAATCCCCACTTTTATCACTGCCCAGTGGACTGTCTGATATGTCAAAAGCAGCTGCTAGTCTTGGTTCAGAGTTGGAGTGAATGCTCTGCTCTTCCTCTTCTGTCTCTGACTGTGAGCCTTGCTCCCGAAGGGTAGACAATCTTCTTGTCCTTCCAAGACGCCTTGCCTTTCTTATGGTGTCCCCGACTTTGAGAGTTCCCTTATGTTTTTGAACTAGTTCTTGAATAGAACCTTCTTGGTCAGAGAGGGAATCTTCTGATTTATCCAAGCTAAGGGAGTTAAAACCACTGTCTTCAGGAGTTGAAATATTGCCTCTTACTTCAGTTGAAGAAGGTGTTTGACTTGCATTAAATTTAATATTTGCTACAAGATTACTTATTGGAGTCACAAATATGTCTTCATCTGTTCCACAAGTTGTTCCACTAATAGAGGAGCCCAGTTCAGGGTATGTATTCTCATCATTAATGCATAAACTGCTATCGCTAAAGTCATGTATGACAGAGTCTTTAAAATTATTGCCCTGAATTGGAGATATACATTCAACTTCAAATAGATTACAGTCATCTTGGGAATTATCAACTGTGGAAGTCTTCTGTTGAGAAAAATTAAGTCTCAGTTTTTGACTGCTCAAAGTCACGTCTTCTGTTTTTAAAGTACTCGTAACTAAAGAGCTAAAATTATTTTGCCTTGGAAAACCTGAAGCACTGCTTATAATATTTTTTTCTAAATTTTGAGCTTGACTTACACCAGTTTCTAGAGAACTATTCTGTGATTCAGAGTCCCCCTTTAGACAAGAGAAAGATACATTCAACCTTCTGCGTGGTAAACATTTTTTCCCACTGATTTTAGGAGTTTCACAAAGTTCTGGGCTTCTATCCTTTTCCTTCCTAGGGAAGACAGATCTCTTTTGTGGAGTGAGAGACTCTGAAGGATATGGTAAGATCAGGCGTGAAGTTTCAGGGTACTCACGGATCAATGTTCGGCCTGTATCTTTATTTCCAAAAAATTCCTCATCTGTGTTATCAAAGCTGGAAGATCTTAACTCATCATAGGCACTATCTTGAAATGAAGATACAGAACAAAAATCTTTGAAGTTGCAGTACTTGAAATTGACAGTAGGAGAGTCCATCTCATTTCCTGCTCCCATGCTAGCTTGACCTGAGTGTCTTTGTGACATCTTTAAAATCTCTGTTTCTGTAAAGAAAAAAGAAATTCATTCTTCCTTGGGAATGATTAGCCACAAAGCTCATACCAAAGTACATGTTTGTTGGGAGTACAGATAGTAACAGAAAATTGTTTGGCAATAAAACAAAGTTACTTTAAAAAAGCAAATCTACTTCACAAGGAATTAATGTGTATCCTACTTAAAATAACTTTTTTTTTTTTTTTTTAGAGACAGAGTCTCACTTTATCACCCTCGGTCGAGTGCTATGGCATCACAGCTCACAACAACCTCCAACTCCTGGGCTTAGGCGATCCTCTTGCCCCAGTCTCCTGAGTAGCTGGAACTACAGGCGCTCACCACAACGCCCGGCTATTTTTTTGTTGCAGTTTGGCCAGGGCCGGGTTTGAACCCACCACCCCTCGGTATATGGGGCAGGTGCCTTACTCACTGAGCCACAGGCACCACCCTTAAAATAACTTCTTGATATTGTAAAGCCCTGAAACCATTTTCAGGCTATAAATGCCCACCGATCACTGGACTTAGCAATAGTTAAGTATTAAGCACAATTTTTTCTTTAACTACCCTTAAGGAAAAAAACCTAGCAGCATCATTTTTAAATTCTTTCATTACCTTAACATGATTTTAACAGAACTAAAATATATGATCTTAGTGTTAATGTTCTAGCTTACATGTGCTGGCCTAATTATTTTCAAAGTTGTGGGATATAAATAAAGCTACTTGAAAAACACTAAATGCAACTTTTTTTTTTTTTTTGAGACAGAGTCTCACTTTGTCACCCTTGGTAGAGTGCTGTAGCATCATAGCTCACAGTAATCTCAAATTCTTGGGCTCAAGTGATCCTCTTACCTCAGCCTCCCAAGAAGCTTGGGGCTACAGATACCCACCACAACACTGGGCTATTTTTAGAGATGCGGTCTCACTGTGGCTCAGGCTGGTCTTAAACTCCTGAGGTCAGGCAATCCACTCACCTCAATCTTCAGAGTGCTATGATTACAGGCATGAGTCATTGCACCCAGCCTAATAAGCAACTTTTTAAACATGCCTTTGGGAATTATGTCAAACCTTAAGTGCTGCCCCTGGATCTAACTGTAATAGGCTAAACAACTTTAGGGTAATGTTGTTATACACGTAACATAGACGTGTGGCTGAGAGCTAGTCCCTATCACCATTCATAAGGTGTGAATTCCCAGACTTACACCTTTATGAAGACTGGTTCACTGATAAGTTACTGACACATTCTTCTAGAGCTAACCAAAATAAACCACTGTACCTTAGATGTAGAGCCATTTCAAAGTTGGCATGATGAATGCTAAAAGTTGAGGGTACGCAGAGAGCACACTGCAAGGATTATTTTGAACATTTGAAAAAGCTTAAATCATTTTGAATTTTTGCCTCAGCCCTCCAGACAGCAATAGTCTTAATCTCCTTGTGTTCTCTAGCTAGTCTCAGAAATGAGTAAAATTTCCCAAATTCAGGTTCCTGAAAGGCAGTGCGAGCCAAAGTGCTTGCTGGCCTTCATTGTTTCAAAGTTTTGTTGTTGTTGTTTTTTCAGTTTCTAAATATTTTGAGACATAAGGTCCAGTTGCTGGCTTGAATTCACAGATAATAAACAACTATTTCTGGGAAAACCACCTTTATAATACTCCTTTTTATAAAAAAAAGCAAAAGAGGCTCAGTGCCCATAGCACAGTGGTTATGGCACCAGCTACCTACACAGAGGCTGACAGGTTTGAACCCAGCCTGGGCCAGCTAAACAACAATGACAATTGCAACAAAAAATAACCGGGCACTGTGGCGGGCGTCTAAAGGCCCAGTTACTTTGGAGGCTGAGGCAAGAGAATAGCTTAAGCCCAGAAGTTTGAGGTTGCTGTGAGCTCTGACACCACAACACTCTACCAAGGGTGACATAGTGAGACTCTGTCTCAAAAAAAAAAAAGCGAAAGAGACCCTGTTCTTGCATATAATATTCTTAAAGTTGCAAATAAAGAATTCAAATCAATTAAAGAACAGTTACCTGGTAATTATATGAGGAAAAAATAACAGTAGGAAATATTTTACTCTTTAACCTTTTTTTTTGTTGTTGGTTTGTTTTTTGTTTTGTTTTTTAGACAGTGTCTCACTTTGTTGTCCTTGGTGGAGTGCTGTGCCATCATAGCTGACAGCAACCTCAAACCTCAACCTCAACTCCTCTTGCCTCAGCCTCCCAGTTAGCTGAGACTACAGGCACCGGCTATAATGCCCTGCCAATTTTTCTATTTGTAATAGATATGGGGTCTTATTCTTGCTTGAGCTGGTCTTTTGAGCTCAAGGAATTCACCCCTCTGGGCCTCCAGAGTGCTATGATTACAGGCATGAGCCACGTCACCTGGTCTGAATTAAATCTTAACTCAAAGAACGCTAAGTAAATAAATGTATTATAGTTTTTGATATTTCTTCAGATTATTCAAAAGGCACTAGGAAAATTGTCAGTCCTTTAAAGTGATCTGTACGCTAAATGGCATGATTTTTCTCTATTTAAAGGTCCTGGCAAAATATATTTTAGTTGACTGTAATGGAATAGCAATTTATTTAAATCTTAGTTACATCAATTAAATGTGTGAGTGAATGAGCTCTGTTTCAAAAGTAAATTGCTACTGTAACACAAAAAAATAATTTATAGTATAATGATCATTGGCAGATTATCTTTACTGGGAAAAATATCCAAGTTCTTTTTAACCTTTTAAACATATATTGCTTTTTGATAAATCTCACACATATCCTCTTCAATTTACATCCTCTCAGATCACTAACTTCTGCACATTCTCATGAGCCATCATTACCAAACTTTGCTTTCTACAATTAGTATATTTTAAAATAATTTTTGATTTCCAAATATTAAGTTAATAAGAATGTGTTTTAAAATTACACCTTCACCCACGATCTGTTTCCCTCCATCTCCGAGAGTCATTCTCTTACATAACAGCTTTTATTCAATTTGATAAAATTAGGTCGGAATCCTTACAGAAAAGTTAAAATAACTGTAACTATTCCGCGACTTCACCACTAGGTGTCTCACCATGCTGGAATTTGAGAAACAGGCAAATTGTTAAAAACAAAGTGGGGATTCCTTACCCTAAAATGCACAGGCTATTTGTTATGTAAAAATAAACCTCTTTGTCTATTCCTCTACACGTTTGAAGTTGCCCCAACGTGGTTTCTCTGTCATTTTCATCCTTTGATCACACCAAGACTTTGGTTTCAAAACTTGGTTCTTCAAAACTTCATCTTGAGGTAATTCATGTAAAACCACGGAATGCCATTGACTTATTTTACTGACTTCGATATCCATTTTTTAAAACCAAGTTCCAGATAAAGGGTTGAGAAATCTTATCTCTAAAGTGCTCTTTGTCAAAAGAGGGAGAAAAAAGCACTTATCAAACCCAGGAAAGCAATGACTTATTTAACTGCATTAAAACCATATTTTCCTTCATTTGTTCAAGGGGAAAATCTTACCATCAGCAAATCTTGAGCTCTCAGATGGCAAAGTTATGTAGGCCTCCAAACAAGAAATCTCTCATCTATGTCTTTAAAATTCATGCCAAAGTCATTCCACTTTAAAAATTCAAGTTTGAACAATTAATTGAAAAGTGCAGCAGCACGAGGAAGGCTAAAAGTTCAAAGGTACCTATAGTACACACGGCAGGGATTATTTTCAACACTTGAAAAGGCTTAAATCATTTTGGATTTTTGCCCCTGCCCTCCAGACAGCAGTAGTCTTAGTCTCCTTTTCTCCAGCTAGTCTCGGAAATGAGTAAAATTTCCCAAATTCGGGTTCCTAAAAAGGCAGTACGAGCCGCAGCACTATTGACTGGGCCAGGTGCTCGCAGCGGGTGGGTGGGTAACGGCCTCACCGGCCTCAGAGACCCCCGCGGCTCTCCCGCGACCTCCCCAGGCCCGGCTGGCGCAGACCTCCGGGGGAGGCCGAAGACCGGTGGGAGTCACCTAGAGCGCAGGGCGCGGAGAAGTGACGGGCTGCCGTGCGCTCCCCAGTCCCAGCACCTGCAAACACAGTGGGCGCCGGGTCGGGCGCCGGGACGCCCAAGGCCCGCTAGCGGGATCGCAGCTGGGGGCCCTCCTCCGGCGAGCCGGGAAGCCGAGGGCGCGGCCGACCGGCGGGGTGCACCTCCGACGGCGAGCCAGGCAGCGGCGGCTGGGAGCGCCCAGGAGGAGCCTCGACCTCGCCCCTAGGGATGGCCGGCTATGGCAACCCCCACGCCAGCTCCGCGTGGGCCGCCGCCTTCCCTCCTGCGGTTTGAACTGCCCGCCCTGAGCAACCGCCCCGCCCCTTCCTCCGGCTCCGCAGCGCCCCCGCCGGCCGCCCCCGGCCCTGCCGCGGCTCTGCCCTTTCCACCCCGCCCAGGCCCGCGGAGGCTTCCCAGTCTGAGAGGCTCTTCCTCCCCCCTTCCTCACCGTGGACAGCATTCATCTATTTTGAGAGGCCTTCAGCGAACACATTCGAAATTGTAGGAGAATATCACTTGAAAATCTTTCTCCAAAATTGAATGGCCCTTTTAAGTTAAAAGTATGGAAACAGGATAAGGTCTGAAAGGTCTGAATAGTTTGGTTACACTACCTTTGGACAGGATTTACGTTTGGTTTTTTAGTTGTGTCCTTTCGTTTATTTGTATTTTCATGTTTCTACAAGGAATATATAAAGATTTTATAATAAGAAAAAAGCTATTAATAATTGTTTACAAACATCACTTTTTGGCATCACGAACACCCAGGTGCCTTCAAAGCCAGATACATTTTTTTAAACCCTAATTTTCATCTGATAAATATGTACTGGGCAATATATGTCAGACCCAGTCCTTTTTTTTTTATTTTTTTTTTTTTTGAGACAGAGCCTCAAGTTGTCCCCCTGGATAGAGTGCTGTGGTATCACAGCTCACAGCAACCTCCAAGTCCTGGGCTCAAGTGAGACTCCTGCCTCAGCCTCCCAAGTAGCTGGGACCACAGGCACCACAACATCCAGCTATGGTTTTTTTTGGGGGGGGGGGTGCAGCCGTCATTGTTGTTTTGGCGGCCAGGCTGGATTCGAACCCACCACCTTAGGTGTATGTGGCTGGCGCCTTAGCCACTTGAGCCATAGATGCCGAGCCAGGTCAAGTCCTTTGCTCTTGATTTCATCCTTCTCTTTCTTCTGGCTTCTTTTCCTCAGCCTACTCCCTAAAAGAGATGTCTTACCTCAGCATTTTTCTTAGTTTATCATTTCTGGTTTACATAATTCTCATTCACATCTTCAACCAAAACATTTAAGCCACCACTCCCCTCTGACCCATCATTTCTTTATCTGGAAGACCCTTAGTCATCCAAAATTGAACTCCTTAACAGTTATTAAGTTCCAACTATATGCCAGTTATTGGGCTAGGTACTGGATATACAAAGCTGAGTAAGGCCCAGCTACTGTTATTAAAGGACTGACTGGTGCAGAGCAAGGGGAAGAAAGGTAGTAGCACAAAAGAAAGAGGGACCCACTAAGCCTCCTGGAGAAGAGGGTGCGAGCTAACTTCATAAAGACCATGACATAAGATAGATTTTGATGGACAAGTGGCAATTTAAAAGGTAGACAATAGGGAATTCCAAAATAAAACAAAATGTGGAAGAATAGAAAAATTCCAGACTCAACACAAAACATGCAAAACAGCTGGGCACATTAGAGAAATTGCAGATAATTTGATTGAGCTAGTAACTAAGAGTTGTTGGAGGAAAGGGCAAATTCTTGACAAAGGGAGATATAGGCAAAACGCCTATATGCCTCCGGCTAAAAATGCCATTTAAGAGAGAGCAGTGAAAAGACTGTGCAGGCATACTTGTGAGAAACTGAGGCAGAATCCCATGTGGCCAGGTTAGTTGTGAGCCTAACATGACCAAGGCTTTGGCTGGAATAGCACTTCCAGACTGCATTAAGGAATTAAGGTTGACTTTATAAGGCCAGTGAAAAAGCCCGTTGGAAAACTGGCCAGATACTCATCAGTAACCTTTCCTGATCTGTGGTAAGTGATGAAATTTGCTTGCTGACGGGTCCAGGAATCGAATAACCTTTCCTGATCCTATGGTGTGTGACAAAGGTCCCTTGCTGATGGGTCCAGGAATGGAAATGTGCTAGGGAACCTCAAGAGAAGAGGAATTTACCCAATGCATACAGGTATCTAGTGGCATAGATGAAACTTGGGCTCATGAAAGGCTTTTGAGAAGTCCAGCCTGAGAATTCCTATAAATGGCTCCAGCAAAACCCCCCTGACTTAAGGCTTACATGGGAGCAGAGGTTTGCACACAAATTCCTGTATGCCCAAGAAGTTTCTCTATGCTTTGCTTAAAGATTCGAAATAACTGCCTCCAAATAGCATGGTCAGCAGAACAGACATTCAAATCATCTCTTTCCCCTGTAGCCTCAGGCTTCATCAGATAAGAACAAAGAAAGTAATGACTGACAACATGTTCTTCATTAAGTTATGTTAAACTGGGTTAGGTTGAAAGGGTTATGCTTAAAGGTATGTTGGGTGGATTATCAGATTATCAGAGAGGAGCCACTTACAGGGTGGATGGTCATAAGATGTTTAAATGGATTAATGAAGTCATTGATGTCCAATGCGCATGTGCAGAAGGATTGTAATGAATGTTAATGAGGTCACTGCTGTATAGTGTGCATGCACAAGATTGACTATATAAACCAACCGTAAATAAAGAAGCTCGCCATTTTGCCTGAGATTTATTATTTATTATTATTATTACCTTTATTTAAAACACAATTTCAATAAGCGTGCTTATTCTCCATGACATAGCTTTTCGGTGAGACCCTTACAGCAACAAGAAGCCAAGCCCTGGAGAGTTTGGGACACATGTTGAGAGTATAAAGTTTAGCTGGGTGTGGTGGCTCATGCCTATAATTCCTCTGGGAGGTGGAGGCAGATGGATTGTCTGAGCTCAGGAGTTTGAGACCAGCCTGAGCTAGAGGGAGATCCTGTCTCTAAAAAATAGCTGGGCATTGTGGCGGGTACCTGAAGTCCCAGCTACTTGGGAGTCTGAGACAAGAGGATCAGTTGAGCCCAAGAATTTGCTGTGAGCTATGACACCATAGCACTCTGCTAAGGGCAACAAAGTGAGCTTCTGTCTCAAAAAAAAAAAAAAAAAAAAAAAAAGAGTCCGAACTTTTTTATTTGTTTGTTTTTGAGACAGAGGCTCACTATATCACCCTTGGTAGAGTGCCATGGCATCACAGCTCATAGCAACCTCAAACTCTTGGGCTTAAGTAGTTCTCTTGCCTCAGCTTCCCAAGTAGCTGGGACTATAGGCACCTGCCACAACACCAGGCTATTTTTTGATTACAGTTGTCATCGTGTTTGGCGGGCCAGGGCTGAGTTCAAACCCACCAGCCTTGGCGTATGTGGCTGGTGCTCTAGCCACTAAGCTATGGGCACCAAGCCAAGAGTCTGAAATTTATCAGAGCAGTTTAGAAAGGCCATTTTGGTGGCACAATGGAGGATAGAATGAAAAGCGGTGAGAAGCTACTGCGTCTTCCCAGGAGAAAGTGAGGGTGAAGAAGAAATTGGACTAGACATATCCAGTTGGTGAAATGAAGGACGTGGGGCAAAGAGTGATGAGTACGGGCTTAAGAGAAAATAAGATGAATTTGGGGGAGGTGCCTGTAGCTCAGTGGGTAGGGCCCTGACCCAATATACAGGGTGGCCCCGGCCAAACTGCAACAAAAAAATAGCCGAGCATTCTGGTGGGCGCCTGTAGTCCCAGCTACCTGGAAGGCTGAGGCAAGAGAGTCACTTAAGCCCAGGAGTTGGAGGTTGCTGTGACATGACACTCTACCCAGGGTAACATAGTGAGACGCTATCTCAAAAGAAAAAAAAAAAAACGAAAACGAAAAAGAAAAGAAGATGAATTTAGTGGGAGATTGTTAAGTCTGGAGTGCTGTAGGACTCAGACAGGAATTTCTTAGTTACTCGTTAGTCAGGATAGTAGCTCTCTGAAGCCTACCCCACACTCCCAGGAAGAGTGAGTAGCACCCTCTCCAGCCCTCAGTCAAATCTCTATTGCAGCCATTTTGCCTTCCCTTGCCATGTATTTGCAAGCTTCTGCTGAATTCTGCTGAATTTTCCCTGTATAATTTGTCACCTTCTAAAATCTTATGTCTTTAGTTTATTTAATGTCTGCCCTCCTCAATCCATCTCAACATTAACAGGGCAGGGAGTCTTGCCTAAGGTTAAAAAAAATCCACATAATCCCAAAACACCATTTAAACATTGCCCCTTTCCTTTTTTTCCTCCAGTTATTTTTCTTGAGACATTTTATTACAATTGAAGAGTAAAAGAGCATATCATAACTCCTTTATATCATTCAAGGAAGAATATTTCCCAGGTGGGGCACAGTGGCTCATGCCTATAATACTAGTACTCTGGGAGGCTGAGGCAGGTAGATTGATTGAGCGCAGGAGTTTGAGACCAGCCTGATTAAGAGCAAGACCCCATCTCTAAAACATAACCCCGCATTCTGTCAGGCACCTGTAGTCCTAGCTACTTAAGGGGCTGGTGCAAGAGAATCACTTTGAGCCCAAAAGTTTAAGGTTTGCTGTGACATATGATGCCACGGGCACTCTACTGAAGGCAATAAAAAAGTGAGACTCTAAACAAAAAAGAAGAATTCTCACCTCTCCCTACCCTAAAACAAAAAAAAGATATCCAGTTATATATAGCTTGCTCTAACCTTTATTTATATAATACAGATTTAAACCATGAGTTATATTTTCATATTCTTTACCAACCACAGTCTTTTGCCCTATTGATTTCCTTCCCTGGATTGGGTGTCATACCATTACCTTCAGAATTCTAAAACCTACCTGCTTTCCACAGGATATAATGCTTCTTTTTAAGGCCATCCTATAAAACATGATGAAAATTTTCCCAATTACCATGACATTCAAGTCATGCAGATACTCATAATTGAGTATGAATTAAGGAAATTAATATGATTAAGGAAAGGAAAGACAGATATTTAGGGGGGAAAGTAACAATGTGCATTGCCACAACCATAAGAAATTAAAAACTACCCCCATTTGGAGAGAACAGTATAACGATGTCCATCTTGTATTAAGTGCTCAAGAAAAGTTAGCTAACGTTATTGATGATAGGGTAGCTCACACTAAGCATGCGCCTTAGGGATCCTAAAACCACAGGTTTCTGCTGATAATAAAGAGGGTCTTGGACTGGGAACTAGAACCAATGTGAACTCTTATTGAAATTCTGGATCTCCTTGCTATGACTTGTCATCATCACCTTGCCTTTCTGTAGGGTTCTGGGATCTAGACGTATTCTACATATGTTGATCCATTTTGATCTCCATAGATTATTCTGTGCCAGAATTAACTTCAAGCAGAGAGTTAAAATCCAAGACAGCTTGCAAATATGAAAGTTGGACTTTTGGGATCACTTCATTTCTTTCTTTCTTACCTTCATTCCCTTTCTCCCTTCCTCTCTCCCTTTCTTCCCTCCCTTCTCTCTTCTCCTTTCCTCCTTCACTCTCTTCCCTCCTTCCTTCCTTCTTTTTTTTTTTTTCAGAGTCTACTCTGTCACCTTAGGTGGAATGTCATGGCATCATGGCTCACAACCTCAACTTCTTGGACCTGAACAATCCTCTTGGCTCAGCCTCCCAAGTAGCTGCAACTATAGGCATGAGCCACTATTCTCAGCTAGTTTTTTCTATCTTTAGTAGAGACAGGGTTTTGCTCCTACTTATGTTGATCTGGAACTCCTGAGTGCAAGCAATCCTCCAAGAGTGCTAGGGTTACATACTGCTTTCTCATATAACAATGATTCTAGTACTTCTCATAGGGAAGCCTATTTTGACTCTTAGATTACCTTTGGTTGAGAGGATAGGAACTTTGTAACAGGGCCAAGGGTCAAAAAATATCTATTCTCTGTTTGTCTGTGGAGGAAGGAACCAGAAATTTTTATTTCTTTTTTTTTTAATCTCAGAAAAATATGGAATGCTTCATGAATTTGCATGTCATCCTTGCTCAGAGGCCATGATAATCTTCTCTGTATTGTTCAATTTTAGTACCATGTTTCCTCAAAAATAAGACACTGTCTTATATTTATTTTTTTCTCAAGAAGACACTCTAGGGCTTATTTTCAGGGGATGTCTTCCTCTCCAGGCAGAAATGCCTGGTGGCTATGCAGATATGTAGCATAGCCATGCCCATCACTAGGCCTTTTTATGGGGTAGGGCTTATATTTAACAAATGCATAGAAATTCTAGTAGGGCTCATTTTTTGGGTAGGCCTTATTTTGGGGGAAACACAGTATATGTGCTGCTGAAGCAAGCACCCGTGGAAAATTTTACATTGACATAGAGGAAGACTGTAAAAATCAAGTTCCTCAAGCTGGTCTGTGGAGATGCAATCATAGTTTGAACTCCTGGAAGTGAAAAGCAAAGCTCAAAGTTCTCAAGTTGCTGGGTGAAGGACCAGAAAGGAGTGTAGCCTACTTTGTAAGATACTAAAAACAGCACATATCGGGAGAATGCAAGCCTGCTTCTCTGAATAACTTTATAATACTGTACTTATTAACAATTGATTCAGTTACTTTTATTTTTTTCGAGACAGAGTCTCACTATGTCACACTCGAGGGCGGTAGCATCACAGCTCATGGCAAACTCAAACCCTCGGGTTTTTTTTTTTTTTTTGAGACAGAGCCTCGAGCTGTCCCCCTGGGTAGAGTGCCGTGGCATTACAGCTCACAGCAACCTCCAACTCCTGGGCTCAAGCGAGTCTCCTGCCTCCGCCTCCCAAGTAGCTGGGACCACAGGCGCCCGCCACAACGCCCGGCTATTTTTTGGTTGCAGCCGTCATTGTTGTTTGGCGGGTCCGGGCTGGGGATTCGAACCCGCCACCTTAGGTGTACGTGACTGGCGCCTTAGCCGGTTGAGCTATAGGCGCCGAGCCAAACCCTCGGGTTTAAGGGATTCTCTTGCCTCAGCCTCCCCAGTGGCAGGGACTACAGGCGCCCGGCACCACCCCCGGCTGTTTTTTTGGTTGTAGTTGTCATTGTTGTTTAACAGGTCCGGGCCGGGCTTGAACCCGCCAGCCTCGGAGTTTGTGGCCGGCACCCTAACCACTGAGCTACGGGCGCCGAGCCTGATCAGTTATTTTTTTGAATTTTAATGACTTCTTTTTCTTCACCCTACTTGTAACTAAAATGCCTTCTGTGAGGAAAGTAAACAAATATAAACGTTCTAAACCAGACTGACTGATCTCACTGAAATTATGACCTTTGAAAGAACACACTTTCGCAGAGCAGGACGTTTTGGTTTTCTATGGAGGAATATATGGGACAGTGGGAGGGTCAGTAGACCGCTAAAGCTACCGAGATCGCTTCAATTAAGCGGGAGTTGTTGATGTAGCTACGTCTCATTTGCATTTGCTTTAATATGAGTAAAAGGAATGGGAGAGAGGGATGACAGGAGCCTAGAAGAGAAACGGCCAAAAAGCAAAAACAAAATCATGGAAGGGTAGGGAGGAGCTGCCCTACCGTCCCAGCACAGGTACCAAACAACTTGAAAAACTGAACTTGGCAAGTGTTTTTCAACGTGAAAATTATTAGTAGAGTCGATTACTCTGAGTTCCTGAGAACGACTAGCCCAGGAGTCCACCGGTACTTGTCACCTCGGTTTCTCTTCTAAGCTTTGCCCTTCCGGAAAAGTATTACTTTCAACCAACTTCGTTAGGTGAGGGCGAGGCTGTCTCCTTTGGCTGTACTCTTGTCAGGGTCGTGAGGATTCCTTCCGCCCAGAAACCCTAATTACACCCTCAGAGTCTAACACACGACCCCTCCCACCACCCGGCTCGCGGCGCAATTCAGGTCGCCTGGCCACGCCCAGGACGGAAAGGGCGGAGACTCCGCTGTGCGTCATCTGCGAGCGCCGGAAGTGGCAACTACACAGCGGCCCGCCGTGTTGCGTTGAGAAGTGTGGAGTGGGAAGGTTCGCGGTGCTGCGCGGGTAGGATTTAGTCGACTGGAAGTTCGTGCGTTGTAAGTTAGGATTCGTGCTTAGGTGTTTGGCCCAAACGGGAAATACTCTTAAGGCTAGAAAGGTCCAGTGTGGGGTTAGAGTTGGGAGAGGCTGGAGATGAGAGTCTGTGCTGGCAGTTCTTTATTTTGTTTAACCACTAGGGATTTTTTCATTGTTTTTCCCTTCTATTAGGCTGTTCTGTTGAGAGGTGTAATTTTTTTGATTGTTTGTTTTTTGCTACCTTCGGCTTATGTTGGGAAAAATGAAACTTGTGTTAAATGAGAACGCGAGCTCTTAAGTTAGATTTGAATCCTTTGCCTCTTAAACTCTGTAATTCCGTGGAAATTAAGCCTCGGATTTTTTTTTTTGATGGATAAAATAATGATATTTCCTAGAATTATTATTGAGTTGTAATGAAATAAAATGTATAAAGTATTTTATATTGTGTCTTGGTTGGGGTAAACGCTGTATACTTTGTGTTTCATTCTTTAGACCGAAGCCATAGGGTTTGGGGGGGGGGAATAGATTAGGAATTGGGATGTTTTTAGCTTTCCTGGAAAAAATGGAATCTGTTTGGGTTTGTGAGAAGCCCCTTTGAAGTATTCAGTATTTGAATCTCATTTCAGGGACAACAATGGACACCCAAAAGGACGTTCAACCCCCAAAACAGCAGCCAATGATATATATCTGTGGAGGTAGGAGTAGCACTTAAATAAAGAAGGAGTATTTTACTTAAGTTTTTTTTTCTTTTTATTTCTTAACGTTTATCCTTTGCTTAAATGGGTTAACTGATGTTCAGAGTTATAAAGTAGAATACTTTAGCAACTATTTTTCTTTTTTTTTTTTTTTAAGCAACTATTTTTTCTTAAAAGCTCTTACTAAGATAGCATTTTCTCCCTTGGAAAAAGAGCGTTGTCTACAACTATTTTTATTCCTACCAAATAATGTTTAGTAATAGCAACACACCCTTGAGATTTAGTATATTTTAGTGCTTTGGATTGCCTTGGGTAAAAAATATAGTTAAGATAATTTATTGTCTGTAATATTTTCCTTTTAGGCATTGAGTAAATGTGTTTTCTTTTCTAGAATGTCATACAGAAAATGAAATAAAATCCAGGGATCCAATCAGATGCAGAGAATGTGGATACAGAATAATGTACAAGAAGAGGACTAAAAGATGTATCTTTTTAACTATGCTTTTTAAATATGAGATAGGAGGGAATAAAGGATTATGAGGGTTGATATACTAATTTCTGGTAAAAATGGTAGTAATTTTTGGATTACAGTACTTATTTTAAAAAACAAATGTGATCAGCATTTTTATAGACAAATATGTAGGTTCTAAATTTAAATACTAATTAATTTTTATTCTCATAAGTTTATTATTCAGGGATTTTGTACAGTCATTCTTAATAATAGGGATATATTCTGAGAAATGCAGCTTTAGGTGATTTCATTCTTCTTACACAAGCCTACATCATATAGTCTACCACACAGCTTTGCTATGTGGTATACTGTATTGCTTTATAAGCTACAAACCTATACAGCATGTTATGGTACTGAATCCTGTTGGCATTTGTAAGATGATGGTAAATATTTGTATATCTAAACACAGAAAAGGTATAGCAAAACTATGGTATAATCTTAAGGGGACCACTGTTATACGTGTATGACGTGTATGTGTAGTCTATTGTTGACCAAAGTGGCCTTACATAGCATGTGACTATTACACAAGTACGTATTATTATTACAAGAGCTTAAGTTTATGGCCAAACTAAATTACACATGTGTGAATAGAAATACAAATATCGTGTACACTAACTAATGAAAAAAGTGGAGCCCGCAAATTAGTCCAAATACTCAAGAGTAAATTGTTACGTGGTAAAAAGTTTTAAAGATCAGTAAGTTATCACTTTAAGGCGGCACCTGTGGCTCAAAAGGGTAGGGCGCCGGTCCCATATGCCAGAGGTGGTGGGTTCAAACCCAGCCCCCGCCAAAAAAAAGTTACCACTTTAAACATTGCTTCAGTGTTTTTTGATGCATTGGGCTTTCTTACCATGAAAGATGTCATAAAAAGTTGAAATAGTTTTTTTTTTACTTAATCTCCAGTTGTCACAGTAAATAGTGAGTTACATTCTTTTGTGCATTTTAACTCAATAACAAACTGGTTAATTGCAAAGAGGTGAATTGAAAGTCTTAAATCTTACATATAATTTTTAAGTACTTTCTTGTCCTTAACTCAGTTTAATACAGTGGTGGTTTTTGATGCCAGATGAAACGTGAATTCAGAAGATTGTCTTAATTTGGATTTGGATTTGTCCCATTAGTATTTCTCATTATTGTATATATATTTCTGTTTAGCATACAGTAATACTCCCCACTTAGCCTCAGGGGATATTTTATTTTCCAAAACCCTCAGTGGATGTCTGAAACCTCAGATAGTTCCAAACCCTGTGTACGTTATGTTTTCCTATATGTACATATCTGTGATAAAATGTAATTTATAAATTAGGCACACTAAGAGATTAACAACAACTAATAAAATAGAATAATTATAATATACTGTAATAAAAAAAGTTATGTGAACATATGAATGTGTTTTGTCTGTCTCTCAAAATATGTTTTTGTACCGTACCCATCTCTTTGGGGACTGTGATTCACCAAGAGTAACTGAAGCCACAGGAAATGAAACTGCGGATAAGTGGGGACTGCTTTACTTATGAATACAACTATATACATCATTCTATTTCATTTTTAAACTATGTTTTATTTATGCATTGATAGTTTCTGCAAAGAAATTTGTTAAATGACATGACTTATTGTGTATGTAAGCTGACACAATAAAGATTAAAATTGCTTCCTTAGGCTCGGCACCTGTAGCTCAGGGGCTAGGGTGCCAGTCATATATACTGGAGCTGGTGGGTTCGAACCTGGGCCTGCCAAACAACTACAACTACAACCAAAAAAAAGAAAGAAAAGAAAAGAAACAGCAAGGCCTAGTGGCGGGCACCTATAGTCCCAGCTACTTGGGAGG